TTCGCAGCCGTAGGTAATGATAGTTTTATATATGCGCAACTTTTGTTCCTTTGATAGTAACGTTGATTTCATAAGCTTGATATGGGCAAAATATGCACCGTTAGCTGTTTGAAATCGATCTTGCATTGCAAGAGTCGCACCTTTACTTGTGCTGAGAATTACGCCTACATATTTAAACTCGTTTATAGACTCGAAATTGTGACTGCTTATTCTGATGTGACTATCTTGGGGAAATTTTGTCATGTATTTAGTTTTTTCTTCGTTTATTCTGAGGCCTATTTGCTTTGTAGTTTGTTCTAGTTGTATGAAAATGCTTTGAAGATACTCCTTGTTTCTTGCAATAATGACAATATCGTCAGCATAGGAGCATATTAGTGTAGATTTATAAAATATTGTACCTCCTTGATCTATTTCGTTGATAGCTGCATGTAACATAGGGTCAGATTGAACAGAAGCGTCGATAGAGAATCACTTTGACGTACACCAGATTTGGTTTCAAATTAGTCTGAAAGTTGACCATTCAGGATTATTTTAGCGTTTGCATGCATTACAGTCATACTAATTAAGTTTTCTTAGATAGTAATCAATGTAGTTTCTGTTGAGCTTATCGAATGCTTGTTTAAGGTCTATAAATAAACAATGTATGTTAATGTTGAACTCATAACACTTCTCGAAAATCTGTGACATAACGAAGCATTGGTCTGTTGTTGAGCGACCGGTTTTAAGACCACATTGATAATCTCCCAGTATTTCTTCTGCGTACATGTTTAGTTTTTCATACAATATGTTCGAGAATATTTTATAGCAAACATTAAGAAGAGATATACCTCTTTAGTTAGCACAGCTCGTTTTGTTGTATTTTTTATATATAGGAACTACTAAGCTTGTATACCACTCTTCTGGCATTTTTTCTGTTCTCCAAATTTTAAAGTAGTAATTCATGTGGCTGTTTGTGAAGTTCTTCTCCGGCGTATTTGATCAGTTCAGCGTTTATAGAATCTTCTTCAGACGATTTAAAGTTTTTTAACTTCTCTATTGCTCGTTTCGTGTCTTCATAAATGGGTTCCTCTAGCATATTTTCTACGGTCCATACGGTATCACTAGGGGCTAAAATACTTAATTATCTAATTCGAAATTAGGTAATAATAACAATGAATCGTCCTATATATTTGGTGTATACTCAATGATTCATATCAATCACAAAGGAATTCGCTGCACTTTCGTCAACGAAACTTAATATATTAATATTCCTTTTTTTATATTAATATAAGAATAATATTTTGTTTTTTTTTTTTTTTCAATAACCTCGTTGAATGATGATGCTTACCAAGAACTCCGGAAGATAAGAAAATGTATATATAATAGGCAAAAACTTCTAAAAACACATTTATATATCAAAGGAATAATATTTTTTAAACAGTTTTTTATTGTTTTATTTGTGATCACGTTCATGATTCTTTTTCACTAGATCCATTTTTCACTAGAAGTAAGAGACTTTTTTTTATAGAAGTTTAGATGTATGAAGTTTTATTTGCAAAAGATGATTTTTTCGCAACACCAGTTTTAAATTTAATATCATTTCTAAATATTTATATATCTGTTCACTTTATGAGTGGGCTATCATTAGATGCAATATTCGATATTTAAATATACAGTCAAACCTCTCTATAACGAAGTCGTTGATGCCTACAAAAAACTTCGTTATAATGAGGTCTTAGCTATAGAGAGGTTCGTTGTAAAGAGATTCGCTATAGAGAAATTCAAATATATGAAAATCGCTGTGTCTTCAACAAAACTTCGTTATAGAGAGAAATTCGTTATAGAGAGGTTCGTTATAGAGAGTTTAGACTGTACTTTATTTAGAGAAAATTCATGTTTAGTTTTAAAAGGCTGTGAAATTCTGTTACTTCTTGTGGTTTCTCGGTACTATATCTTTGCTAAAGGTATTTTTATCAAAACAAATTTTTGTTTAGCATATTTTGAAAAAAGTTTATTGGGGAGACCATGAAGTTGTCCTATTGAACAAAGTGATATTGTTTTGATTGCATGGGCTCATTCGTCTTGAACAAGTATTTTGGTTGTCGTGTTCATTCTACTATAGAAGTATAGAAAAATTCTGTTACTTTTTTAAAGCTTATTGCTGTGACATTTAGTTTATATATTGAATAGTTATAGAATTGATATTAAATTTGTTATATATTTCATCTCTTAACATAATTATGAAATACGGCATTATGTCAAGTAGTTCTTGTTTCAATAGAGTTCGCGTAAATGGGTGAACTCTTAAAATTAATGTTTTACTACCAATTAAAACCACACCAACCACAAACAATTATTTTGTAGTTATATTAATCCATTTATGAATAGGAATAACCGTCGAATATCAGAAATCTGGTGTTAATATATACAATAAATAAAATAATAAGTGGTTTATAGGTTGACTATATACTGGTATATGTATGTAAGATTAAAACATGGTTGTTACATTTTATTTTTGTTTGTTGGTACTATGCAGCAAAACAATATATTTTTATTCATAAAAATTTCAATATAAACATTCAAAGTAAGGCAAAAGTATGTTAGACTTAAAAGGATGGCTACATTTATCATAATGGTATATCGCAAGTTACTTGATAATGCTGCATAATCAGCTAAGTCGATAATAACCAATACCCATGGGAGTAAATAAATTTATTAATATTCCAACTGACCACAGCTATATTACTATATACACTTATACATAATATATATGCTTTCAAACTTGTTGTAACATATTTATATGTATACAACGGATTTTCAAAGAAATTTTTTTCGAAAGGGAGTCCTTTATTAACTCTTTTATTTAATGTTGCTAACTGGGACTTATGTAACCTGGGTTTGTATTCCGTTGTATCTAATTCAAACATCTAATTATCCACAAGAGATCGCTTAGTTTTGTAGTTAGCCTATGACTGAGAAGCCAGAGATTAAAAATTGGACACCCATAGTACCGATCTTGATAAAATATTACTGAACGAAATTTTAAAAATCTCGTAGTTGTATTTTTTTGATTTTTATACTCCAGACTCTTATAAATGATGAAAAGAAATCTTTTTTCAAACCCTCCTTTATTTAATGTTGCTAGCTGGGACTTATGTAAGCTGGGTTTGTTTTCGTTGTATCTAATTCAAACATCTAATTATCCACAAGAGATCGCTTAGTTTTGTAGTTAGCCTATGACTGAGAAGCCAGAGATTAAAAATTGGACACCCATAGTACCGATCTTGATAAAATATTACTGAACGAAATTTTAAAAATCTCGTAGTTGAATTTTTTTGATTTTTATACTCCAGACTCTTATAAATGATGATAACAAATCTTTTTTCAAACCCACTAGTTATTTTATGCTATGAAAAGTCATATGCAATGTGTCATTTCTAAACACTTAACTGAAGTAATGTCACAAATTCTTTAAATATCACATACGTTTGGATTATTTTTGATTTAATATTTCATGTAATGTTTTAACTGAGATACAAGACTCACATTACTTCATGAAACGTTAACAAACAATTTTGTTTATAATCAAAAAAAAAAAATACTGAATGTTCTGCTCAAAATAAACACACTCAATACTTTTGTCAGTCACAATCTGCTGCATTCACATCACTTTTTGTCTGCGAGTCAAGAGATTTATTTTGACACAGTCATAACTCATGAAACGTGAAATTTAAGTTGATGCTGACAATTTTTACACTTTATTTTTGTTTTTAAAAAAAAAATATATAAACAATCTTTGAATGCACATAAAATTTTTTGGTGAAATTTAAGTGCAGTGCAATTCTTTTTACATGTTTTTGCGCTAGAATCCTGGTTATGCGGGTCGCAAGGAATTACCAGAGAACTTAAAGATACAGTTCCGCACAGTTGCTATGATGGTGCCGGACAGACAAATTATTATACGTGTCAAGTTGGCGTCATGTGGTTTCCTTGAAAATATAACATTGGCACGTAAATTTTACACTTTATACAAGCTGTGCGAAGAGCAGCTGACAAAGCAGGTGCATTATGATTTTGGTCTCAGAAATATATTGTCTGTGCTACGGACATTGGGTGCAGCAAAGCGGAGGAACTCAAAGGATAGCGAGAGTACGATTGTGATGCGAGTCCTACGCGATATGAATTTATCAAAACTAATAGATGAGGATGAGCCGTTATTCATATCGTTGGTTTCGGATTTGTTTCCCAATCAGGTTCGTGAGATCATACAGAGAAATGCAAATTTTATGCAAATTTTATTATTTTGAGTATGCATCCTATAAAGATATTTAAAACTTATAATACAATATATATAATAAAAATTGTATCAGGTTTAAACCATTTAAAATTAATATCGGTTTATATAAATATGACTATTTTCATTTTTTTTAAAAGTTATTAAAAAGTCATTGAAATTTTTACATTTAACTCTCACGTAAAACGTATAGACCCTTGAAAAGACTAACTATCCCGAACTGGAGGCTGCCATTGCACAACAAGCAGAAGAGGCTAGTTTAGTCTATCATCCTCCGTGGGTTCTTAAGCTGATACAATTATATGAGACTCAAACTGTTCGGCATGGCATAATGACATTAGGTCCAAGTGGTGCGGGTAAAACTACTTGCATTCACACACTCATGAAAGCACTGACACAAATGGGTGATAATCATCGTGAGATGCGAATGAATCCAAAAGCCATAACTGCAGCACAAATGTTTGGCCGTTTGGATGTGGCTACAAATGATTGGACTGATGGCATATTTTCAGCACTTTGGCGCAAAACTTTAAAATTGAAGAGTGGTGAGCATGTCTGGCTTGTATTAGATGGTCCAGTTGATAGTATTTGGATAGAGAATTTGAATTCAGTACTTGA